TAGGTGAACTTCTGGAATTAAAACTCGTAAAAATATGGAGGCATCCTATGGCCAGATGTTCTTGCAGTTTTTTCCCCTTGCCGCTTGTAATGCTGTGTCTTGTCCTCATTGAATCTCTACAGTTCATTAATTGTGCTTCAAGATTTCCTACTCTGGTATTGGCTCCCACACATGTTTCTTCTTGTTGGTCTCTAGCAGTGAGGCTATGGTTGTCAGATTCCAGCCTATCTGTCTCTGCCATGTTTTGGGGTGTGGTTTACCTTACATTCTCCTCTAATGGATCTTAGAAAAGTTGTTGATTCTCAAGTTTGTTTTGTTACTGTTTTCAGTCTAAAGTAATGATTCCTAAGCTCCTTATGTGCAAGATGGAAACAAGAAGTTCTGGCAATGTTTAAAGTTTTATTGAGCTTTAATTCAGATGAAGGGCTAAATAGTTAGTTGAGTTAAATAGCTCAGCAGATTAAAGTGTGTGCAAGCAGGTGCAAGGGCTGAGGCTTCGATCTCTGGGCCTGCCATGCCATCCCCACCCCCAGGGCACACTGAGAAGATGAATGAGACTGGGCGTGGTGGCGCATGCCTGTAATCCCAGCACTTGGGAGGCTATAAGCAGGCAGATCACTATGAGTCTGATCTGGTTGTGAGACCTTGAACACCCTGTAGACCCTTCTTTAAAATATAAAACAAGCAAACAAACTTAGATGATGCACGTGTAATGATGTCCACCAGTTTAATTTCTATAGCTGCACTGTAGAGATTAAGAACTAAGTGACTTCAAGGGCTGGGGAGATGGCTCAGTAGAATAAGTGCTTCGCTGGCAAGTGCAAGGGCCTGAGTTCAAACCCCGGTTCTGCCAAAAAAAAAAAAAGAACTAAGTGACTTCACATAGCTACTACCACAGTCATTACATAGAAAGTCTTCTTCATCTCTACAAAGCTCCCCTGTGTTCCTTTTCACCCAGTCTTTTCCTCTGATCTTCAGTCCCTCGGAAGTACTGTATTGCATTCTGCCACAATGGGTTGCCTTTAAAAAAACGATGTAGAAATGTTACTTTGTTTTGTGTAGTCACAAAGATTTTTGCCTCTTTTGTTCTAGAGATTTTGTGATTTAGCCTCATATGCAGATATATGGTTACCTTCGAGTGACCAGGATAATACGCTTTTTATATAATAACTTGTGAGATATTTCCTCTGCTTCTATTTTCTGGAAGAACTGGAGTAGCTCTGATACTGTTTTTTCTTTTAAGTATTTGTTAAAATTCAACAGTGGTGTTTTCAGAGCCTGAAGTCTACTTCGTGGGAAGATTTTAAACTATGAATTATATTTCTTTAATAAGATAGGGGACTATTAATGTTTGTTATCTTTTTCAGTGAGGTTTGATACTTTGTCTCTTTTTTTTTTTTTTTGGTACTGAGAGTCAAACTCATGACCTTGTGCTTGCGAGGCAGGCATTGTGCTGCTGAGCTATATCCCTGGCCCTGATTGTTTGTCTTTCAAGGAATTTTTGAATTACATTTAAGTTGTTGAATTTATTGTTATTAAATTAATCACCATATTTTCTTAATGTCTTTTTGATGTCTATAGGAACTATGATAATCTTCCTTTGATGCCTAGTATTGATAATTAAGATCTTCTCTTTGCCTGATTAGTACAGATAGAGGTTGCTCTATTTCATCACATCTTATTTATTTTTTATATTTTCATGTATTCTTTCCTCTTCCTGTTTAGATATTTTTCTTACTCCAGTGTGTTTCTGTTTTTTTCTTATGAACTATACCCCATTGATTGATGGTTGCTTTGGTATAGGATTTCTTAACCTCAGCTCTGTTGACATGTGGGCTGAATAGTTTTTGTTGTTGTTGAGTTTTCCTATGAATTGTACACTTATTTTTATCCTTGGCCTCTATGAAATAAAATTGTGACATCAGTTGTGACAGTTGTGACATCTACAATTATGTCTCCACACAATGTCAGAGGCCCCTTGAAGACTGAGAGGGAGATGACAATGACAGAATTACATTGATTGAGAACTGTTTCTCTTAGGTTCACATTATGCATCTTTAACTTATCACAGTCACCATCACAATATTTTTCTGCCTTTTCTATAGTGTCAGAATCTTAAAATGTTATACTTTTCTTTTTCATAACCTTTGTGCTATTTAATGCATTTTATTTTTATTCTATGTTGTAAACTTCAGAATACATTGTTACCTCGCATTGTTGTTGTTTGTTTTTTTTTTTCCTGATGGTATTTCCATTCATTCGAACCAGTCTAAATTCTAATATTTTTCATATGCTTGAAAATTTTTATGTACCAATTTTTGTAGTATTATTTAATGCAAATTATTTTAGCCTTTTCTGAAGTCTTTAGTTTACTTTCCTTTTGGGCTGCAGTTTTCTTTTGGAATAGAATCTAGACTGCTGTTTGTTTTGTGTATTTGGAGTATGTCATCAGATTATCTTCTAAATTAGGAAGTATGCAGTCATTCTCATCTTTGACACTATTTTTAATATGTCTTCTTTTCTGCTTTTAACATTTTTCTTTATCATTGATATTGAAAAATTTGATATACATTAGTTTGGCCTTATTTTATTTGCCTCATGTTTTTAAAGCTTTTTGAGACATTGGGCTTGTAGTTTTCATTAAACTTAGAATTTTGGAACAAGTTGGAAAACCTTGGGTAACTCCAGTTCCATTTGTGTTAAAATACTTAATGTTGTTTCATAGTTCCTAAACTGCCTTTAATTTTTTGGTAGTGTTTTTTTTTTTTTTCTGTTTATTTTGAATGTTTTCTATTTTTGTTTATTCCAGTTTGCTGATCCTTTTTTTCTAGTACCTAATTCTATTAATTTCTTTTTTTATTAATTTCAATGTCAATTTAATTTCAGATTATATACATTTTGGAAGCTTCAATATATGTATGAAGTGAAAGATACACACATAGGTGCATATGGATGTCTTTTATTTCTGTTTTCTGTTAATTTTTCAGTAAAAGCTAAATATTTCATGTTGTATGTTTGGGGTGCCTGATTGTGATGTATCCTTTTAAATATTGTTGGATTTTGCTCTAATGAGTAATTAATTATATTACAACAAGAAATTGGATCCTTTTGAAGCTTAGTTTTAACTTTTGCTAGTGGAGCTAAAACAACCCTTAGCTGGGGAGATAGTTCAGTAGAATAAGCTCTTGCCTGGCAAGCACAGGGTCCTGAGTTCAATCCCCAGTACCGAAAAAAAAAAAAAAAAAGCTTAAAGAAAAGAGTAAAACAACCTTTAAGTTAGTATTAAAGTGGCCTTACTATTAAGATGATGCTTTTTCTAAGGATTACCTAGAATGTCCTAGTAGGAACATTCTGGCTCCTGGGAATATAAAATATTCTAGTCCCTATTTTGAGGTCTGAGCTATGTTCATTCTACTGCTTTTTGCTGCTTGCTTTTGACTGTTGGGAATTTTCACTCACACATACATAAATCAGTGCTAAGCCAAAGATTGTAGGAAACCATTCAGCAGATCTCTACTCACTCTCTTCCTAAGTTCTGCTGTTCCTCTAGCCTTCCTTGCTGCTTTGGCCTTCCTGTCTCTGTTCTTTCAATTGTCTTCCGCTTTTCTGCTCTGGCTTTGAAATTTTCCCAGGCAGTGTGTAGCAGCAGTCATAGGCCTCACCTATTTTGTTTCTCTTTTCACTGGTATCCTATCTTCCTATTTCTTCTTAGAAACTTTTGATTCATGTTTTAGTTTTGTTTTATAGTTGCTCAAAGCTTAGAATAAACTTTGTTGTCATTACTCCATAATCTGAAGTGGAAGTCCTTTAATTGTCATTTTGTGTTTCTTTTTATGATTGGAGATGACATTAGAGATTGCTTGGGCTGACATGCATGAGGACTGGTTGCCTTCGATTCTTTCTTAGTATCTTGGTAAAGGGCTGTGTTGCCTATAAAGGAAATCGGATGTTGTTGGGGAACATCCTGTTTATCTGTCTTCTTTATAAAAGAGGAAGAAATGTACTAGCTAAAGGTCGTACTAATTTTGCCTAGTGTGTAGCATAAGTTTTTAGGATATACAGCAACTTGGTCATTGATTTTTCTCCTACTGCTTGTGGTTTTAGGAATATTCTTCAAGTGATAATCTGCCATTTATCTGCTTCATTCTAGAATCTTGAATCTCTGTGCTCAGATTCTATTCTGAGAGCCAAACATACAACTTGCTGAATTTGTTGGTTTGTTGCCTGGAAAATTGTAAGGGCAAAATTGATATTTTAATTATGGAGAAAAAGAGGCAGCTTTTAAATGAAAATGTTCTTCTTTGCTTCACTGTAAAAGCATACCTAGGAGTAGATTTGCATCTGAAAGAAAAAGAAGCACAATGTATAAGTAATAAACTTTCTAGACATTGTAAGACTGCATAAGTAGGGTGGCCATATGTCATGTTTGCTGAGGGTAGCACATGTTTACATTTGTTCTAGAATAATTTTGGCAGATGTCCTCTTTCACTTTTGACAGTGACCTGATTTCGATGACACAGATATATTTGGGTGTACACGTGTGTCTGTATAAAGTTAAATATAATGAATATACTCATCCTTCTTATAAAGAACAGATTAATTTTTTTTCATGAGCAGAATGTATTTATTGAGAGAAAGAAAGCTCCTGTCCAAGAGAGGGACAGGAGGGGGGCCCGAGCGGGTAGTTCCCCGGGAAACTGTCTCTTCCAGGGACTTTTATAGTGTAAAACCATGTGAGGCTAAGGTAGAGAGAATGGGAACTCGCTTAGGTGGGCAGGAGGTGGGACAAAACTATGGTCAACCAATGGGATTACATATGGGACAGGTAAAGAACAGATTAAAGAGGGTAAGATTAATGTTAATTCTTTGGCTACTGTTGTTCCTGAGTGATAGATTTACTTTTTACTTTCTATTTCAGTTATATATTACATAGTATATAATGACTAATAAATATGTTCAATTTTTTTTTTTTTTTTACTTTTTTGGTGTTTTTGCTGCAGATGATTTCAATGCCACCCATCAGCACTGTGTTTTGGCTGGATCACAGCCTCGGTTTAGTTCTACCCATCGAGTGGCAGAGGTAAGTATAGATAAAAATATGATTCACACTTAATGGGATGTGATGGAAGTGGTGGAATGAGCAATTTATCATAGAGCTTGGGAAGAGTATTTGGTAGGAAAATTGCTTCCATCTAACTTGACTGTAGTCTGTTTACTTACTTTTTTTGCTTTCCATTGTATTGGGTGCAGTTTGAAAGTGTGTTCATGGCATGGGATAAATATATTTTGCGTTTGGGGGTATATTTCTTGGAGACGATAAATACCTTCTAGTGGTAGGTGTCGCAAGTTTGAAATTTTCTTAGGTATTTTATCTGTCAAGATCAAGGGCAGGATAGGGCTAGAAGAGATGGAATGAATCCATGGGTTTACACATTTGTTATCTGTGGTTGATTTCAAATGAATATTTCCCTTAACTTTTTGGTGAGACTTTGGGTGTATGAGTATAAGGAGAAACTTAAGGAACTTATGAATTTCCCAGTTGTATTCATAACCCAAATTTTATTGCTAAATTCTATCACCATTTGGCAGTGGATACTGGTCAGCTGGTCAAACTAGTTCAAAATAGAAAGTTAATGAGAAAAACCCATAGTCGTCACTTTAGGATTCCAAATGGTTTCTAGAGAGAAGACAGTAAGTATTAATTGAATTACAAGTTGACCTCCAAGCCAAGCCTGCCTACTCTGTACATTCAAATATATAAATGAAGATGGGGAGGACAGTCCCAACTAATTCATATGAGTATGATGATTAAATAAGTTAATCCATAGAATGTAGAAGTCTTTTAGAGCAGTGACTGGTATATGTTCAAAGAATTTCAACCACTACTAATTACTATTGTTGTAATTTTATTCTTATGAAAAGTTACTAAAAGATAGGAACAACTACAAAATCACATTATATGGAAAGTTGTTCCATTTCCATTTATACACTTGAGTGAGGGAATTTTAGAACAGCTAATAGAATGAAACAGGAAAAATGGTGGGATTATTGTTACTGTAATAGGATGTGGATGCCTAGGAAACATTCAGTGGCTGTAGTTTACCTGGATCCCAGAATATCAAAGATCGTGTTAGCAAGTAAGGTGACTCTGCATGAGAAGGATTGTGAGTGCTGTTGGATCTCAGATTAAGTGTTGAAGCAGAAATTTCTTGGCAGTCGTAGGCTGTTTCTTTAAATTGACATATTATTGGCTGGCCAAATAGCTCAGCAGATTAAAGCACCTGCAAGCAGGCACAGGGGCCAGGGGTTCCATTGCCGGGCCTGCTGTGCCAGCCCCGCTGTGCCGGCCCTGCTGTGCTAGCCCCTCCCCCAAGGCGTGCTGAAATGACAATTGAGACTGGGTATAGTAGTGCACACCTATAATCCCAGCTCGTGGGAGGCTGTAAACAGGAGGATCACCATGAGTCCGACCTAGTAGTCAAACCCTAAACACTCTGTAGACCCTTCCCTAAAATACAAAAAATAAATAAAAAATAGAAAAATAAATAAATAAATTGACATATTAGGGGTAACTTTAGGTAGGTTATCATAGCAAGAGAAAGAAGAAATGCCCATAAATGACATGGAAGACAGTGGAGGCATGGCAACTGCACAACAAATGGAGACAGGAAAGTAAGAATGAATCAGTGAGTGGGCAAAAGAGCAACTCTATTGGCTATTTTGTACATGCTAGGCTCTGGGATGATTCTGAGTTTCAAACCTGGGTGATCAGGGTATGACAAGACTGTTAATAGGAAGAAAAGTGTAAGACGTTGTAGATAGTTTTAAAAAGGGTAAGTTGATACTGCTAAGTGGACAGATCTGGCAGACAAATGGAAATGTAACATTAAAAATGGGAGAAGCCGGGTGTCTGGATGCCTCTCTGTAATTCTAGCATACTGGGATGCTGAAGCAAGAGGATTCTAAGTTTGACCCAAATCTTGGTGACTTAGTGACTTAGAGAGACCCTGTCATGGATAAAAAATGTGGATGGGAGATACAGGTCCAGGTGAAGGCCTTGGGTCCAGTTGAAAGTAGAATGAAAAAGAATAACACAACAATTTGGAAGAGCACAAGAAACTTTTAACTCCCCAGCTCTTACAGTAACTACACACAGAAGCTCTGCAAAGAGCCCTTTGGTGTACTGTTTGAGAAATACTCTGCTAGCCTTAGTTGCTTAAGACTTAGCTTTCTCAGATTAATCATAACTGTATTTACATCATCTAATACGTAGGGAAAATTCTGAGCATTCATTAACTGTAAAGAGAGGATTATCTTTGATAAATCTATTTAGAGGAAATTATTGCTCCAGTTATATGATTTTTATATTGTTTTGTGCTTTGGTTAAAGCTACATGATGTTTTCTAATTAGACACAAATAATGTGAGTTTTGTGAATATCTTGCTTTTTGTATTCCATTTCAGCTCTCAGCAAACTCTGGTCTATGGACCAGGGGACTGATTTTGTAAATAAAGTTTTATTGTAACACGGTTACTTTTTTATTATTTATGGCTGCTTCAGTTACAGTGTTAGAGCTGAGCCTTTGTAGCACAGATGTTGTGGCCTACAGGCCTGAAATAATTACTCTCTAATCTTTTTAGAAAAAATGTGCTGATTTCTGCTATGGGTGATCTTTTATTTTTTTTTTTATATATTTTTTTATTTTTTGTGGAACTGGGGATTGAACTCAGGAACTTGCACTTGCCAGGCAAGCGCTTATTCTACTGAGCCATCTCCCCGGCCCCTATTGGTGATCTTTTATAAAGAGGCTTTTAAAACTCACTTTAAGATTAAAAGTAACTTTAAAAAAAATCACTGTCTTAGGATAAATTTCTGTTTCTAACAAAATATTATCCAGGGTTAAAAAAAAATGGTAGTATTTAGTGCTGGTAAAGTTACCTTGAAAGCAGTATATTTTATGCTTCTGGTAATTTTTCTTGTGGTTCCTTTTTAGAAGGCTATCTAGGGAATGTGTATAAAGTCAGAAATATTCATATATTTGATCTTGTAACACTGTTTTTAGAAATTAAGCCTATTTCTATGGACCTATTTCCATAGAAATAAAAGGTTTATTCACCAGAGTCACTAATAGTGGAAAACTGGGATGGATCCTTAATGCTTTTGTACTGTGTGACCACTTAATTGAATTGTTGAGTATAACCTTAATTGAGAACATTAACACTAGTTGTTTTGAATACTTATTTGTAAAAAGAGAAAGACAACATATACATTGATATTTGCATGCTGATTATAACTATATGGACAGATAATCACAATAACAAAAATAGGTTTCTGTGGCAGGATTTTGTTTTTATCTTATTTAATACTTTAAAATTCATCTTATGTTATCTTATGTAGAGTATAGGGAAAAAATAATTTTCCTCAATGCTAAGGTTACTATTTTATGTGAAATTATATTTTAATAAAATTAATTTAATGTATTTATAGTAATTATTACTGTATTCCTGCATAATTATTTTTGAATAACTAGTTACTGAAATGATTTAAAATTCAAAATCTACTACTTAAAGTCAGTCTTTTTTTCTCAAGCCAACTAACTCCTCCTTCTTGGAGACAACCAAAGTTGTCAATCTTGTTATCATTTATGTGTGATGTTACTCACACATAATGGTAACCTACCCTGTACGCTATTCTGTACCTTTTGTTTTGTTTTAGAAACTCTGATGATAACCCCCATCAATAAATATTTCCTTGGCATGGGCAATGGCTAAAGTTGCTTTTTGTTGTTACTGTTTTTCCTGGGTTTTGGTACCAGAGGTTTCATGCAGAGCATCATGCATAGAACTCGTGCACACGCGGCAAGCACTGTGCCACCAGAGTACACCCCTGAGCCTAGCAAAGGCTGTTTAGGTAGTGCACCTAAATCATGGAAGATATTTATATTTAGAATACATAAGGAATTCTTAGTAATTAAAATGAGAAATAATTTTGGTTAAAATGATGAAGAGTCTGTGTAGGCATGTTCCAAAGGAAGTATGAAATTGCCAAGAAGGACATGAAAAGTGCACAGCCTCCCAGAGAAATGTAAATGGAAACTGTGATGAGATGCCACTTGATTCCCCCTCAGAAGGTTAGATTGAAAAAGCTAAGTGTTAGTGAGGCTGTGCCTTAAGGAACCCTGTGCACCTCTGCAAAGAATGGATAAAGATGCAACCACTTGGGGAACCAGCTGGTCATAGCTTCAGAACGTTAAATACAGAGTTGCTCTGTGATGCAACAATTCTATGCCTAGCTATATGTCCAAGAGAAGTTGAAACATATACATTGTTGCTGATTTGTACTGATCAAAAAGTGGACTGAAGCCAAATGTTCATCACCTAAGTGGATGAATAAGTTGTGGTCTAGTCATACAATCAAACTTTTGGCAATTTGAAAGACTGAAGTGCTTTTCCATGCTGCACCGTGGATGGGCCATGCAAAGTCTAAGAAGCTAGTTGCACAAGATCATGCCACGCATTATTTATTTGATTTGAATGTCCATAATAGACATATTTATTGACATAAAAAGGAAGTTAGTAGTTTCCCAGGACAGAAAAGGTTGGTGAAAATGGGAAGGAGTGAGTGGTAAAGGACAGAGTTTCATTTTGGTGTAATAAAATTATTGTAAAATTAATTGTAGTTATAATTGCACAGCTCTCTCTCTCTCTATATATATATATATATATATTAAAAGAGTCATAAGCTTTAAGTTATTGAATTTTATGATGTGTTAATTATAATTCAATAAAGCTTTGGAAAAATAAAAAAGAATAAAAACCTAGCAACAAACTCAAGTCTGATCATAGTCAAATAATACTCTATGTATTCAGGAAAAATTTCACTTTCTCCTTTCCCTTTTATTGGCAGCAAATAAGGTTGAATTGTGCTTCATTCAATTGGTTCCCAGTTGATGGGAAATTTAGGTTGATCCCATCTTCAGCTATAATAACTGGCTTCACAATTATTTAGGTTACTTTGTATTTGGGAAAGTAAAGGATTGAGGAGGACAACTTTCTAGGTAGAATGTCCTTTAAAAATACATTGTAGGAGGGGTCATGGGACTAAAGTGAATGATAATTCACCTCTATTCTTTGTTTTCTCTTTAGAACTGCCCTTGTGCTTTTGGTACCCTGGGGTCATCATATTAAAATGTATTATTAGTCAAACTTTTAGATTTTTGGCACAGAAACTTGGTTTTACCTAGCTTGCAGATTTCACATTGTGTAAATTGTCAATAACTGTGCAGAGACTTTCTATACCAGAGTATTAACCCTCAAGGTTATTTCCAAGGGCTCAGTTTAAATTATAAATAGGAAAATAAAAATATCTTAGAAACATATTTCCCTCATTGTTTCTAAAGTAGATCTATGGTTTGCTTTTTATCATTCTAAAAAGTCATTTAATGATGGAAACAAATGAATGCATGTTCTGTCTGCGTCCTCATCTTTTTTGGCATAGGATCATTCCAAAGAGTTTGTCCATTTGGCCTCTGTTTTGTTTCCACAGACTGAGAGGGGAATAAACTAGTTTGTATGCTCCCTGATACCCAAGTGCTAAGTTATGCCTTTGAATGTGCTGTGAGGTCATGAGCAACATATTCTTTATTATTTGAAAACTTATTCTGCCAGTGAGCACAGCTGCCTAGTGTTTTTTTTTTTTTTTTTTTTTTTTTTTTTTTTGACAGGGTCTTGCTAGGTTGCTCGGGCTGGCTTTTTTCTTGCAGTATAGGGGAAAACTTTTGAGAGCTTTTGAAACAGTTCCACAACTTGGCTACCTTTCTGTGCCAATGCCAGGTTCATGGCACTAAATATAAAATCCGTGTCCTTGACTTCTAGGTTAATGTTATTCATCACAGAATTTCTCTCTGTCTCTGTGTCCATCTGTCTGTCTGTGTCTCTGTGTCTATTTCTGTCTCTGTCTGTCTGTCTCCTCTCTCTCTCTCTCTCTCTCTCTCTCTCTCTCTCTCTCTCTCTCTCTCTGTCTCTCTCTTTCTCTCTCTCACATGCACACACGCACGCACACCAGGCCTTGGTCGCTTACTGCTTACTGCTGTTTGGTTAAACCTAAAAGATCCACATGATAAAAGAATAGCAGGAAGCTGAGTAGCCCAGTTGAGGCTGAGCTGGCTGCACAGAAAGTAGTGCACAGGCCACTGTAGTAGTTCCTGAGCTAAGGAGTATGGGCTGTGGGGACAAAGGTGAATGTGAAAAGCCTTAGGAAGAGTGGCACAATTGAGTATGGCTTTTGCTCTTAATCTTGATTACTGTTGTGTCTTGGCAGTGCTCTACAGGAACCTTGGATTATATTCTACAGCGCTGCCAGTTGGCTGTGCAAAATATCCGTGATGATGTGGATAATGGTGATGTCTCTTTGAAATCCTTTGAACCTGCAGTTTTGAAACAGGGAGAAGAAATTCACAATGAGGTGAGGACTTTCAAGAACTGTAAAGGATGTGAGATTCAACCCTTACTAAAAAGTTAATCTGCCCCAGTTATGTGATGGTCTAAGGTATAAGACTCTTAAGGTCAGGGGTGAAGTACAGTATTACAACAGTGGCAATAGCCAGAGCCTTAGCTTTTTGTGCTAATTCTCTGTTTTGGTCTATGTGAACTATTCTAGCAAAATATAGTATCCCACAGAGTGTCTAGACAACAGGAATTCATTCTCACAGTCCTGGAAGTGAGATGAAAATCAAAGCAGAAGCAGGCATATGTCTTTGGTGAGGGTGTGTTTACTGATTCATAGATGGCACTCCTTCTTATTGTGTCGCTGACAGATAAGCCCCCTCAGACCGCTTTTATAAGTGTATTAAGTCCTCCCAACTCATTATCATCCCCCAAGTGCCTCACCTCTCACTGTGAGGATTTAGATTTCAACATAAAAATTGAGGGGTCTCAACATTCCGACCACAGCCTTTCCCAAGCTTCTGTTTCTACCAGATGATGCAAAGTGGGCCAGATAACTTGTGCACCCAAAGGGATTGCCTCCTAGGAGAGGCACCTTATGCTAAAGTAGCTTGCATCTTTTCTGGTTGGCAGTAAGCACACCAGTTTACTTCCTGAGTTCTTAAGGCAAACCTGCCTGCTGTTCGAGAAAAAGCTCTTTGTTTTCCAAACCTGTTTGCTATATAAACATCCCTGCAGTGAGCATATGAAACACAGGCCCCTCAGTACCACTCACAACACATGCAAAAATACAAACAGCCCAGCAAGATTAGTCTTCCACCATGGAATGAGGAAGAGCCCAAACAGCAAGTCACAATACTTTGCCTTTTATTTTGGAAATTTGTTGCATTTCTGCAGTCTGTGAGTTCAGCAGCAGCTTTTGATGTGAGTTAATGTTTTCCAAACTTACTGTTCTTATTAATATTTGTCTCAGTTACCTTTCTTTTGTTGCTGGGATAAAATACCTGACACTCAAAATTAAGGAAGAAAGGTTTATTTAGCTCCCTAGTCCATACTCAGCTGGCTCCAAAACAGAGTGGCAAAGGGATAGATTTTACCGTTAGTAAATTATACCTTAAAAAAACTTATTTTTTTTAGAAAAACAAGATTAATAAAGAGTGGAGATGTACTGATGTGTTTCACCAATGGAGACTTTTTCTTGGTATAGTCAAAATGATTGCTGGACAATTAGGAAAATAAAAATGTTCTTATCCATCTCTTTAATAATGTCTGAGCATGTGTCTGGCACTTTTCTGGGTCAATTAAGATATATTGGTAAAGAAAAAAGATATTCCAGTCCAGGGAGGCAATAATAAATAATAAATGTAATACATTGGTAAAGTATGTAGTATGTCCCAAGGTGCTAAATACTATAGAGCAAAACAGAGAAGGTACTAGAGATTGAGATGACTGGAGAGTATCCCTATTCAAAAGGATCTGTTTTGAGCAGGTATTTGAAGAAAACGAAGGAGTGAGCCATGTGGATATCCTGGGAGGAGCATTTTGAACATAAAGATAACCTTTGCAAACTCTATGAGGTTGAAAGTGCCTGGCATTCACAGAGTACTTGGGGCCAGAGTGAATGGGGGAGCGAGGCTGCCAGTGTAGGAGATGAGATCACGACATTGTCAGGAGCCTGGGAAATGGCAGACTTTATAGGTTCTCAGAGACCTCCAGAGGGACAGGACTTTCTTTTCTGCTGTGAGGAAATTAAGGAGTGATGCAAGGGTAAATAATGTCTACTCAGTAGAATAAGTGCTTGCCTGGCAAGCGCAAGGGCCTGAGTTCAATCTCTGGTTCTGAAAATAATAATAATAGTAATAATAATAATAATAATGTCCAGCCCTACGATTTTTTTTTTTTGTATTTTAGTAAGTGTCTACAGGGTCTCACTATGTAGATCAGACTCGTAGTGATCTGCCTGTGTTTAGCTTCCTAAGAGCTGGGATTACAGGTGTGAGCCACCAAGCCCAGTCTCATTGGTCCTCTCAGTACGCCCGGGGGTGGGGCCGGCATGACATACTGGGGATCGAACCCAGGCACTGTGTCTGCCTATGCAGGAGCTTTGATCTGCTGAGCTTTTTGGCTGGTCCGACAATATCCTTTTAAAATCCTTTAAAAACTATTTAATCTCGTAAGTGTGCTTTACATTGTCACAATTTCTAGAACTAAAGACAAAATCAGTCTACATTTATGGGGAATAATAACCACCCGTCATGCTAAGCTGGGCCCGGGGGCCCAGTTCTCTTTTCTTCATTGTGCCCACTGAGTTCCTGTATTCTCTCTCATCAGTGCCTGTGGAGACATTGCTGATAGGGTCACAGGAAACACACAGTTATGGGCCTGATAAACTCGCTGATTATACCTGAAAAGAAAGTTCTGTCTTCCCCATATTTGTGATATAAAAATTCTAATCTGGAAAAATAGTTTTTCCTTTTTTAAAATCCTTAAAAGTTTAAGAGTCAAATTAGCAGATTGGGTGCTGTGTTTAGCATGCTTATGTACTTGTGGTCTTCTGTGACTGTTGTTTTGTTATCAGGAGAGGGCAGGGGAAGTCTGTAAAATTAGACTGCTTATCTAAGATAAGAATACTGTCATCCAAATCCTTGTTTGAAAAAATGGCTGGCTGCTTTTGACATTGTATACATTAGGGACAGGGAGAAGAGATGGATGAGAAGGCTTGGCTCCTTGAGCCCAACCTGGGCTTGAACAGAGAAAGGGAGAGGGATCTTGAATTTGATTAGCATGTGAGTCAGTCTTCATCCCCATGCACCATCTTTGGCTTTTCAAGGTTGTCTCCTTACTTAAGAATTAATTCCATATGTCGGGGCACATCATCAAATATTGTTCTTTTCCCATACTGCTGGCCTGGAATTGATCACTTGCATGCTTGCTCTGTACTATGTTCTATTATTAGATGAAAACACAAATGTGCATTGTACATTCCATTTTCTCATTTGCTTTCCTCTTTCTTCAAGGCCATATGCCTTTGCTGAACTGAATTATAAGATTAAGGTCTGGGTTTTAAATACTGTGAACTTTCAGGGTGTCTGGATTCAGGAGTGGCTTGTTTTCCTTGTCTAGAATGGTTTCTAACTATTTTGGGAACTTTAGACCTAGGAGCTGTGTATCTTTTAAAATATTTTTTTTCCAGTGTAAAATCCTTAGAAAGATGTATGTTCATTCATAAGTAGAATCTTCCTCTGTGTTACTAAATTGTGTTTTCTTTTTAAAAAACAGTGATGTAGAACCAGTCTATTTTAGTTTATTTCCCCTGGAAGAATATGTATTTGATAACATTGTCTGGGTTGGTAATACTGTCTGGTTCTTACTTTCCGTTGATCAGATCTGTATCTTCTTTATAGCTCTGCAAAAGGGTCATCATAGGGTATCCCTTGTAGATTGGCTCTTGGCATCTCCTCCTGGTCTAATTTCTTTTTCAGTGAAAGAAGAAATTAATCAATTACTATAATAGTTCAGTTATTATAGTGAGATGTTAGCGCTGAGGGACATGTTTACATATCTCATGCAGGAATCATGTTGTTCACCTGGGACCAAATCAAGAACCAAAACAAATGTGGTAGAAGAAAAAGAGATGCTGTATGCTCACCTGGAGGAGTAATAGAGACGACTTATGTGGTCATACAGTGTTTCTGAAATATATTTAGGAATCACATACCTGAGTGCCCAGTGACTTAGGATCAGCTGGTAGATGGATCCTGTTTCTTTCACTGCTTCACCTCTTCAAGTGTTCTCAACATATTTCTGGGAAAAAAGATTTTCATAGATGATCAGTCTTGACTGTTCCACTGAGAAGGTAGATAAAGGGAAGAGGGTTACAGAGATGGTTTTCTGGGTCACAACTATGAGCCTAAAAATACTGTGATCATATTTTCATCTGTCTCTGACAATGCAGAAGGTCCATTAAGATCTTGCAGAGTTTGTAGAATGTCAGTGTTCCTTTTGATACTTGTAGACTTTCATTCCTTTTGGGTTACAATGGGCTCAAAAAATTCAATGATGGTGAATTTTCATTGCATGCATGTTAGATGTCATTGGTTTGTAAGTATGAAGAAGACTAAAGAACCTCAAAAGAGCTGCTCCATATTGTTTCCTGTTGTTCTTGTCTTCAGGGGCCTGGTACCTACACCCTCTGAAGTGTTTTCTGGCTTCTAGTCTATGTTTGCATTCCTTACAGTTTGTCTGTTAGCTCTGAGCCTCCTTGTGGGGGAACTTCACTCTGGGAAAGGGATGAAGTCCTAGTCCTTGTCATGTTTAAAATTTTGTCAGTCAAATATGGTGATGAGGCTTTTATTTATTTATTTTTAAAAACTCTGAAGTAATAAGGTTTCCATTGTATCCTGAGTGCGGGCTCTCAGGTTTTCTGTAAAGTCCACCCTGCAGCCTTCCTTCCTATCTTCCCAGAGTTTAAAAGGAAACAAAATTTTATTTTAAAACTGAATCTCTGTATCAAACAGCTGGAAACATTTTTTGCTTCCCTACTTAATTTTAAGAAAAGAGCTACTGCTGCTTTTGTCAGTGGGAGAATAAGTAAGGGTGACATTTGACTTAAAAACTGTAATTTTTTTTCCCTATGGCACAGAAATGAAAAAGTCAGGTCGTAGAGTTGAATGGAATGCATGTCCAGTGGACTCAGTGTCCATAAGGACTGTATCTCATGGGCCGTGCTTCAGCTCATGAGTAAATTGAACTATATGCAGGTTGTATTTCTGTTTTCTGGCTAGCTCTAATGGGCAGGGTTGGGCATGAATTCACATAGGTATTATAACTTTTCCTGCTCAGAAAATTTCATAACATTGTGAGATACTTATAGATGTAGTTCTAAAGCTTGTAGTCTTGTCTTCCCATCTGGTAAGTACCGAACATATAGTCTAGTATTTAATTCTTACCACAAACCTATGTGGTAGTGTGTCATTATTCAGATTTTTCATTGATCCAGGGTCCTTTCTTGTTGTTTTAAAACAGGGTTTGTATGTAGTTCAGGTTGGCCTCTAACTTGTAGCGACCCTCCTGCCTCAGCCTCTCTAATATAAGGATTACAGGTATGTGCCACCGTGCTCAATTTAGAGACCTTATTCTTAATTATGACAGTCTCTGTCTCAAAAGATAGTTGGGCGAGGAAGATGAAGGCAGTATCTATTAAAATAGACAAGGCTCTTAATTTGTTCTCTTGTCCATTGATGGAAACCCCACATATGTCCATCTCCTTGCTGTTCATTGTTAATTTACTGAAATCTGGGCTCTAGTATACCCTGATAGGTTGAGTGAGCTTATACATATCATAATCTGTTTTAGTTCCTGGGATACTATGGCTGCCAAGGTCTCTGCATTGTGTCCGTTTCAGTGGAAATAACCGGCCCAAATCTTGGAAAACCCTTTAAACTCTCCTTAACATAGGACTTGATGTTTTCCTGACATGCCATTCCAATAGTGTGAACAAATTTCATGTGGAATCCATGATGAAGAATTCATTTTTTTTCTTGAAATAGTGTTGTCAGAACTGTTCTGTCCTCAAGGTTTCACTGTGTTTATGTTCATTCTCCTTTCAAAGTATTCAAGTTTATTTCTGTTAACCACTGTCTTTTAATACCATAGATAAGGTTTAGAAACTGTTGTCTTAAGATTGTCTACATTCCTTTTTTGTTTTGTTTAAACAGCTTTAACTGAAATCACTTCTACATATCAAACAAACATTTAGTTAATGTAAACCAAAACCTTTTCATATGACTTGGTGTTCTCCAGTTTCTTATTTCAGCCATTTTCCCAATTGTTAAATCTTCACAAGTTGCTTTTGTTTGCCTCATGAAAGTTCAGTATGGATAAACAAACAAGAAAATTCTTTGTGGTAACAGGTGACAATTAGAATAGGCTGGCGTGTCTGTGTATGAAACATGATCACCTTGGTAAAGCCAGACGGCTTAGCATGAAGCTGTGATTGCTGTACATTTTTTACAGAGGCAAAAAGAGTTTTTAGGCTAAGTGACACTAGACTTTGATGGTAAAAATTTGATTTTTCAACTTGAAGATGAGTGGTAGAAGACATGGAAGATAGAGAACAATTCATAAGCTTCCAGAGTGTTACTTAGCCTCTTATGTGTGTGTGTTGAGATTATTTCAGTTACAAAGAACAACAAAGTGAACCTGAATTGAGTTAAGTAAAAAGAGCTTCAGGAATAGCTTGATTACTAATCAGTTGATGTCACTAGGACCTGATTTTTATCTTTCCATCTTACAGTCGGCCACCTCCTACTGTGTTGGCGTTGTTCTTCCTGTGTGATAGCGCAATGGCCATGGTCTTTTGCCTATGCCTTCTGGTGGTGTTGATAGATACTCTGATTGAACACTTAACCTAAATCCCTACTCAGATCCAATCTGTGATGAGAGAGATGGGATGGGCTGATTGCCTTCGACCTGAGTTTCCAGTTCTACTCCTAGTATTAGAGCCCAATCTCTACTTGAACCACATGGAGTATAGGTAAAATTTTGCTAGTACAGGGGGAGTGCTAAAAACAGGTCCAAAGGAAGAAACCTAAATTAGAGGTGTCTTTGCTACTCTTTACTGTTGGCATTAGCCCATGATGAGTTGACAAGTGACAATTTGAATGGCCTTTTAGGTTGAATTTATGCCTTTGCAATTAGTTTTATATTGTTTGGTTATATGAGCTAAGATGATCACCAGCTCCTTCTGGCCCATTAGCAAGTTCTTTATTTTAAATCTAAAATGTTGCAATTATTACTCATAATATGTACTTCTGTCTTGATCTTTAACTCAGTCTTTAATAAAGATGCTTAATGAAAGCATTTTTTTAAAGCTGTGTCTTTCTTATAATTCTCAGGAGAGGCTGCTTATACTTTAGGATTGTAGTATTTATTGCTAATTTACTCATGTAGTTTCCTTCACATCTGACTAATAGATGTGATTGAAAACTCTTTCCTGACCTGAGCAAGTTGTCACTCTTAAGATAAGACTTCGGCTTCGCAGAAATGCTCTGCAGATGCCAGGGGATGTTGGGAACTGGGCAGGTCAGGCTTTTCACACCTTTTTTCACCCTCTGATGATTAAGTCACCAGAGCAGAATTGAGTGAGGAAGTCACTGTCCTAGCTTGTCATTCACAAGGACATTATAACCACCATCTTTTCTTTCTGGTCCACAGGTCGAGTTTGAGTGGCTGAGACAGTTTTGGTTTCAAGGCAGTCGATACAGAAAATGTACTGATTGGTGGTGTGAACCCATGACTCAGCTGGAGAGGCTGTGGAAGAAGATGGAAAGGGTGGTAAGGATGTGAGGTTGGGAACTGTATTTTCTGGGATACTGCATTATACAAACTCTCAGCTGTTTAATTTGCATGTGTAAGTGCATATGTAACTATTCCAAATTATTCAGTTAGATTAGTCTTTGTAAAGGTAATGGGAACAGCCAGGACTTGACAGTATAATTGTGGTTCCATTCATTGAACATTTATTGAGAATAATCTACGTAGAAGGCACCATGCTAGACATATGCTGGGAGGTGGCAATAGGAAACGTTCAACAATACATATCTGAGATTTTCATTTTTATTTATTTTTTGTGTCAGGCACTATTGTAAGAAATTTTCCTGCATTAAGTTTTAAAATACTCATAAAGATGAGAGCTGTAGAAATTCTTCTGAGTCTTAATTTGTAGATATGAAAACTGGGCTACAGAGAAATTAAGTGCTTTACCCAAGGTCCCCAAATAAGTGGCATAGTAAGATGGATATCCAGGCAGCCTGCTGCAGAGCTTGTCCTCTTAGCTCCTGTGATCCAGCAGTGTAACAGGGAGAGAGCATGAATACCACCAGGTATTGTATCACCTAAAATGTAATCCTGTAATAGAGGTGTATGGCTCAGCATTTTTGTGGCTGAGCCACTGTGACTAACACTCATACCTTAAAGGAGGATGCACTTAATTTGCTCATGGTTTCAGTCCATGATTGGCTGGCTGTAAGATAGCAATCGCATGGCAGAAGCGTGTGGTGGCAAAGCCATTTAGTTCGTGGCAGCTGGGAAGCAGAACAGGGTGAGAGAACCAGAAAGGAAGGGTGAGGCAGCAGGTAGGACACCAAGGCCACACCTCCACAACCCACCCAGACAGGCCGCAGAGTATGCTCCAATCTCTGGGGCAGATCCCAGAGCCAGTCAAGTCAGATCCCATGCCAACTGCTACAAGAAGTCACACACACACACACACACACACACACACACACACACACCATCACAGTGTAGTAAAGAGTATTAAATTCACATCACTGAAACTAAGACTTGTGAAGCTATGGATGTGGCTTTTAGGGATCTTGAATGGGAGGAGCATTCAATTTTTTACAAAACAAGAAATGAGGAGATGCAGGTTAGAGAAAGGACTACATAGGAAGCAAAGCTGGAAGTGAATAGAAACCACATAATTAATGTAATTTAAACAGAAATAATAGCGAGCACTTTCATGATACTTGTCAAGTACCAGACACTACTGCAAACATTTTCTGTGTAACTGATTTAACTATTAGGGCAAACCCATGGAGTCAGTATTATTTTCTTCTACTTATGCAAACAAAGAGAATGAATCCCCAAAGGGCTATGAAACTTTCCCAAGGTCATTCAGCTAATAGTTGAGGGAGCTGGGATTTGAACTCTAGAAGGCTAATGCAGGGTCCTTGCCTTTCAGTGTCTCATGTTCAGTCTCTAAATAGTTGCATTTGGAATGTAGCAGAAAAGTGATAAAAGCCTGCTAAACTCTGGAGAGAATATGAGTATACAGACTTTGAAATGTGCTGAGAACAATGAACTAATCTGCAGAATGAGTAGCTGTTGCTAATATGTATTTTAGTCTTGACATTGCTTTATTAATATATGACTGACATACTGTACATAATGAATGTATATAATTAAATGAGTTTACAGATAAATGTACATGTACCTGTGAAACCGTGATTGTGGTCTGTACTATATAACCTAAAACTTTTCCTTTTCCTTCTTACTATCATGACAGCAACACTTAGGATCGAACCCACTCTAATCCTTATTTGAAAAGAATGAAAATGTCAAGTCACAGTCATGAAAGCCCTGCTTTTCAGACATCTCACTTTTTAAAAAATGTTTTATTTATGAATTTGTATAGGGTCTCGCTATGCAGCTCGTACTTGTAGTGATCCTCCTGCTGCAGCCTCCCCAGTGCTGGGATTATAGGCATGTGCCACCTCGCCTGGTTTAGGTGGCTGGCACGGCAGTCAGGGCCAGCAGGGCGTGTGATCGCAGGGATTGAACCTGGGTCCTTGCGTCTGCCAAGCAGGCATTTAGACCGCTGAGCTATCTCTGCAGTCCAGCGCCTCAAATTTTTAAACTGTCTTTCCATGCATTTGTGCCTGAGGAAGGAATATTATCATTCTTTTTATAGTATACTAAGAGTATCACAAATACTGATTTCTCAGAAGACTGACTCTATACAAAAGTGTGCATTGTAATACTAAGGTGAAGAGAATGCTTACTTTTTCATAGTTAGTTTTAGTCCTAAGCTTAGCCTGGGTCGAGGATATTCCATTTTTGTGGAATGCGTGCAGCTTCAGGTTCAGGGCAGCATTTGTACCTCCATAGTATAATTCTGATTTGGGACATTTACATTTGAGTTTAGCATTTCTTTCTTCAATGAGCTTTAATTCTAAGGTATCAGCTTGACTTTTGAAATAGTAAGTTGACAAAGTTGTAATTAAGAGTTGGAAAATAAATAAGGAAAGATCTTATTGATTCAAAAATCTTTTGTTGAGGACTTTTAAAAAAGAAAAATCTTTGGTATTGTGACTGTAACGTGATGTGATTATAAATTCATTATATTTGGGGGCGGTGGCACACTTCTTCTATGTATTTTGTAGCTCTTGTATGAAAAATGTTAAAAGGAACAGCAGTTCTGGGATTTGTCCAGGCCTCCAGTTTCCTTGTGCAGCGGTTGGATCCGCATTCCTCAGTGAGCTGTGGGCAATCAGTGGCGCAGTGTCTCTCCCCAGCAGGCCTCAGGATGATCATTATCACCGAGTGAAGGCTTGGGCCGAGATAAAAAGGACAGTCCTTCTAAGTTAAATTTAATTATTGCTTGAAGCCTTTTAAAATGACTTGTAGCAAATTCATAATAACTTATTTTAGCTATTGGAAGAGACAGAGAACACTCATTTGAAAGTTCTGTGCCTCTGTGGCTCTTGTTGGTTTTGTATATTGAGCATGCTGTGGGCTCTCTGCTCTGTAGCAGGCCATCTCCTACTTTTTTTAGTTGCAAGCAGTAGGGGGCAATGTTGAGCTGCCAGTTAGAGGCCTAGGGATGCTAGCCTTTCAGGAAAATGCATACAAATGTTCCATTAACTGTCAAGAATTATTCCCATTGCTTCAAGTTAGCTGTAATTTCCAAGATTCCATAACACAGGAAATCAGTTGTGGGTTAACAAATTCAACAGCAATTTAACATAAAAAGTGCAATGTTAGGTGCACATTTGGATTCTATAGAATTAGACTAATCGAAAGGGCGTATTGGAGTGTATTTACTTCTAGGGAATATATTGCTCAAAATTATTATCACTTTAGACAAGTGATTCTTTGTTATCATTGTACTTTTTTTGAATTGCAAAATCATGTGTGTTGTGGAAAGATATCTTTATTTGATGCATTTTGTCTGTTCTGCAACATAACATTGATCTCTTTCAGCAAGAAAATAAAAAAAAAAACCTTAGGCAATATGTGCATTACTTTTTCCCTTTTGCTTATGAGTAAAGCAACCTTTGACAGCCCTTGTACCAGGGAAGAGACTTCTGTTGTAATTTCTCTGTCTGTTTTTTTTTTTTTTTTTTTTTTCACTTTGCGGTTGGAAGGTATAGTCTCAGGAAGGATACAGGCAGGAGAAAGGAAAATGAGCTTTGAAATAGTTTTTCTTCCAGTAATGGTAATTGCTTCACATGTCATAACCAGTCACATATTTCATGAAGTTTAATCAGCTGTCCCTGAAACTCCCTAACCTCTATGTCCCGGTCCCTGTCCCAGCAAGCAGTATTTTTTTTTTTTTTTTGTTTTTAAAGCATGCTGTTTATTCTTACTGCTTCTCTCCCGGAGGATAGTTTTACCCAGTGTGTGCTCTTGTGATGTAAATGTTAAACCTTATATTTGAATGACATTCTGATAAAATACCACATTTTCCCTGAATATTACCTCATGAATTTATAAGCCATTAATCCCAAAGTAACATTACCCTTTCTTACAATCCAGGAATTTAGCCTGGCCTTAGCTCTCCCTTTGCTCCATATGCAAGAAGTATTCTAACATTGTAATGCTATTCAAATATTTGTATTTTATTTTATTTTTGAGCCAACCCACTACCTCCCATCTAAGATTATTGTATTATGAGGAGACTGTTCAGGATAAGAGAGAGTTACCATTTGAAAGAAGCTGTATAAGCTGTGCTTTCTGGGTAAAGAGGGATATGAAAAGCTGAAATCTCCAGTGAGGTGAGGAAGTCTTGCTACAGCCAGAGATTGAATGGATAGGCCATTTGTCTCTCAGGGTCTGGTATCGGTCTTTGCAAAACTGACATTTATTTTACCTATAAAAATGTTTTAACACTATCAAACTCACAGTGATACTGAAAAGAACGCTAGGTGTGAAATTCTCTAAATTGATGACATTTATTCATTTCTTTTTGACCTTAAGGAGAGAGAGAGAAAAAAAGGAAAGACACAGCAAAAGATCCATTTGGTACAATCCAATGGAAATATTCTAGAATGGTTTCCAGAGTAGGCATTTTCAAAAGTACTGATGATTTATATACTGGAGAGAAATTTCCTCATAATTTTTTTCATTGCTTTTCCTTTTTGTAGAGAAACGTAGATCCAGATCATTTTGAATGTTTTGAGTTGCTTTTCCTGTCCTGACAGTTGCTTGTGCCGGCGTGGCAGTGCCTGTACGTGACAATTGGCCTTCATAACCTTTTTTGACTTGAGTGGTAGGAGCCAAGGCTGGATTATTTTAATGTATCCGTTTTGAAACAGTGTGAAGCACAACATATAATTATGTCAGGTAGGCTATAGGCTACATTTAATTCTACCCATTTATGTTAAAATTTGGCAGAGGAGGACAGAGAGGTGTGGAAAATGAGTAGGTGTTTTATTTAATAATGTAACCAGGTTTTTGCTGTTAAAGTTTTAAGAAAAAAATGCACTTATGAATGCAAAGCTTGTCTCTGACAAGTTATTTATAATAGTTTAATTTCAAGATGAGTCATGCCT